CCCCCCCCTCTCTCTCTCTCTCTCTGTCTCTTTCTCTCTAGCTCTCACTCTGCCGTTTCCCTCACTAGCTCGCACACATTTCAGAAGCTGTCTATATCGGGCTAAACACTGTGACCTGCTGGCCGGCGGGCAGCCCCCCGGCGCAACCAATTGCGCTAACAGCACGGCCCCTGAGCACGCGAGCCACGCGGTGCAGCGCAGCGAAGCGCCGGGAGGGGGGGGGGGGGGGGGGCAGCATGAGGAAGGCGTCGCGATCACGCCGTTTAAAAAGACGTTAGAACGATGGGGTCTCGTCGTGACCATATCGTGACCACGTCGTGACCACGGCAGGACCAACGTCGCAAGCAAGCACCTGACGACCTCCTCACTAACCACCCCTCGTGCCCAAGTCGTTGACGCGGTCGCGACAACCGTCACCGTCGTGTCCAGTGACCAACGTTGTGACCTCGTCGCGAGGGGTCCCCCACTTCCAAAATAGGTGTACAACTGGATACTCACCCGTTGAGCCCCAGGCGGAGCGCGGGCCCGCCCGCGCGCAGCAGCTGGTGCGCGTCGGCGTTGGTCATGGCGGCCGTCGCCTTCCCGTCGATCGAGGAGATGATGTCCCCCTCCCGGACGCCCTGGGCGGTGGCTCGGCTGCCGGGGTTGACCTGCATGGGCAGGGCGTAAAACAATAAGAATGACGACACAAAACAAAACAAAACTGCACTGCACTACATCATTGATCTCCGGGGGGATGGAGAAAAATAGAAAACCGACAGGGCTATCGTCTTGCACATACACTGAACCCTGGTGCATTTTGCTGTGCAAAAACATAGTATGGCGTGCTGTCATAAGTATGCGCAATTTTTATGCCATAATTATGCACAAATTGAACATGTCTATGCACGAATTGTCCATAATTATGCATGAAATAAACTTAAGTTTAAGCCACAGTTATGGCTTAATAATCACTGATAAATAAAGTGTTCAATAAGGGATCGTCCTGAGAGTACGTCCGTTTCTCTCAAAAATCATTCTGCAAACTACAGAAGCTCGGCGCCTGCAAAACTCGATGTAGGCCACCCCGCAATACAGGCATGCACGGCATGCAAGATTGTGCCTACCCATCAGGCGCCATGAGAGCTTGCATTCGTCACGGCGAATGACGGACGTACTTTCTGGATGATCCGTAACTGGCGTGCACATGCACGTGCTCAACTCTATACACTTTTAAGTGTTTCACAGGACATTTGAATACTTCGAAGTGTTTAACAAAAATTTCACACCTTAATGTGTCCAACCCTGATGTTGAACGCTTTTTAAGTGTTCAACTTTCCAGTTAAACACTTTATAATATTCAAATACCCAGTCAAACACTTGAAAGTGTGCAACATAGTGTTGAGCACGTGCATTGCGCACGCCAGTTGAACACTTTATAAGTGTATACTCCATGTTTATGCACAACAAAATGCAGAAGAGGGCTTAGTGCCTGTCATACCGTGCGGAACCGGCGGAACTTGAGCATTTTTCAGGCGATTGAAAATGAGGCAAACCCGCAACGCTGTCGTGGGGCCACATCGCATAGACTGAAGATTATCCTGCGTGCGACAGTGGTCGGCGGTGATCCCCCTCCCCCTCTTCTTCCCTCTATCCCCTCAGGGGGCGCCCCCAGGGGCTCGGGGAAAACGCCCCCCTCAGATAAGCCGGGGTATCGACGACCGGGAAAAACTTTACGCTGGGTGTTGCACGTACAAAAAATATGAGCAGCGTGTGGCATAACTGACGTGAGCGACACCATATTTATTTTTATTTTTTTTTATTTTCACTGTACATGGCAAATGGTGAAAAAATGGATTTAAACGAAGGGTCAGTTGGGAGGTGGCGTAATTACATTCAACGGCACTCAAAAGCCGCAGATATCAAGCCCAGAATCATTCCTGCCATTTTCTTGAACACTGTTTTCGTTTTTTGTCAAAGGAAAGACAGTTTTCTCGCGAATAAAGAATAATAATAAAGCGTGTGAGTAGGTACGCCACGAGCGCTATACCCCCACGCGCTATGGAGCGCGGTGGGGGGTATCGCCTGTGCGCAGGGAGTATAGCGCCCCGCGCGCACAGCACCCTCAAACTGCTATAGAGGTGACATCACCGCCAGCGGGCGGGGGCGCCAAGCGCGGCGGCCGCGGGGGTGCACGGCAACATGCAGCTGGGGCCAGAGGCGTCTGTAACCCGACTTAGATAGCGTTTCATAGTTATGCGGGCAAAATATGGAAGACGGTAGGTATACAGTGTAAGTTTAGAATGCATTAAAAATTTGCGGTGGACGACACATTTTTTTTGGCAAATGATACCTTAAAATTTTTTAATAATTATAAAGAATACATAAGTAACTTGAAGGTGTCAGCTATAGCTTTAACTCTCGATAAGCAGGCAAGAGAACTAAAGGACAATAAACCAGAGGTCATTCTTTTAGTGCGCTGGGGGGAATGGTGTCCGAGTGAGTGTCGCACCAGGCCCCTTCCTTGCCCTGCCCAACAATAGTGCGCCAGTCAGACCCGTCAGACCTCACCTCTTCCCCTCCCAACAATGCTGGACCAACGGCCGCTTTGCCCACCCGACCCGCGCGCCCGCCCCCTATCGCTTCAGCTACACGCCACTAGTCCGCCAAATTGCAAGATTTCAGCAGACTGCAAGAAACAAGCAGTCATAAAACAAATGACAGCTAAATTTATAATAGAATATTAGAACTCAAACCTGCTGTCCTTAAATGTGTATCATCTGCTTTCGAGATCGATTCTTGATTGAGATTTTTAAACCGGCATTGTTTGTCCTTTTCAAGTTTTCCCTGCTCACATGCCCGTACTGTTACCGCCTCCTTTGTCACAGCCTTGCAACGCAACTGTCCTGATTAACAATCGCACTGCACTTCCTCTACCGCTGGTACTCGCGTGTGCTCCTTGATAATATGATATCAAGTCGCTACATCGCGTATCCCAGTGAGCATGCCGTGCTACAGCAATATGTTTGGGCCCTTTGCGCTTTACACGCCAATATACCATGCAGGCCGATACGAGCCGAGGGGCGGGCGGTGTCCTCAGTCAGGGCGCCTTGTGAACGGGGCTCGGCCACCACCTCACCGGACACCGCGTCAACTCATGGCAGCTGCACATGGGTTATAAGTTTCAGAGCAGGGGACATGAGGGCGAGGGCGCCAGCTTCAACCTGCTCGGGTCGGTTTCCTTTCAATTAGGGCCACTTAACTGCTCTCTAGCTCTCCGATATCACTGAAAGCTGGTTTCATGTTCGAAACTAGCCCTGATACAGTTGTTTCCTCGCTCTATCTTTGGTCTCTTCGAACAATTGTAGAGAGGAGCCTTGAAAGAACACTTACTCTATGAGAGGCAAGGGGAATAACCTACACGATGACTCAAATAGAGCGAGGTAATTACTGATCTCACTACGCTAAAAGAAAGATGCCTGATGCCAGTATTTGTAGTATCTCTAGGTCCAGGATGTCATTGATACTCGTGACAGCACTGCTGTACCAGAGGGGTATCCACGGCAAAGCGTTCAACTCCATCTTTGTAAGTAGTTAGCACATTTCTTGAAACGTCTGTTTAAAATTTGGAGGTTATAGCACACGGCGTGTAACGTGTAACGTTTTTCTTAGCGGCGTTCTCTCTCTCATTTTCGAATAGGGCCCTTACACTGCCTACACCGAGCGGTTTTACAATGGTGAACACGACAACCTTTCCTGCAGGTGGTATTTGCGGGCCACTCATTTCAATCCACTCAAGCCAAGAGAAGTTCAACTTTTGACCGGTAACGTGACGATTGATGAAGTTATCGATGACAGATGCGGGGTAAGAGACAATCTTTTATGCCTATTTAATGAAAAAATACACCGAACAGACCTGCATCAATAGGACCGGCACCCGAAGAACTTGTAATCATCAAGACGATACTACAAAACCCAACACAGCCAGTAAATTATGCTGGAACAAAAATTAAATTTTGCCAAATACGTAATTTAAATGCTCTGAAAACAAGAATTGTTCAAATTTCAAATGAATGGACTGTGGTACACATGCCAAGTCTGCGCAGGGGGCAGCCCGTCGGCCCGTCCATCCAGAGGCTGGACTTGGCTCAGGAGGTTGAGCGGCAATAGGAGGGTGATCCCAAGCTAACGCGGAGATAAAAGAGAACAAACTCGACAGTTTGTTTTCTTTGAGCCAGTATGAGAAATTATCATGGTGGTTTGGCCCAATTCTAAACTCGCAAATATGGAAGGGCGCTCCAAATAACTTATATGCAGTTTCTCATATCTAAAAGACGGTGAAGGCACGAGATCACAGAGATAATCAGAGCCATTACAGTTACAGCAAAATATAAGTAAGTTTGTTTTGTTCTTACTTCCGTTTTGGATAGCGTGGAACACCATGGTGCAGCATTTGGGGGGAATCTATATCAAACATCAAACGGTGGAGGTAGACACAGACACAGGGTACTGAATAAAGGTGGCCCTCCAATGAAACCTATACGTATCATTTCAGTGTGACTGATGCAGCCTGTGTCTGCTAAATCGGCGCGTCCGTGCAACAATATCCTATCTGTTTCGCTGCCCCAAAATACTATAAAGATTAGCCCGTTTTTCGCCGCCCTCGGCGCTGTCTTTTCATTGTAGGTCTGATAATATTGACAGTAGAAAAAAAGAAAAATTGCTGCGTATTCCTTAAAGATCAAGAAACAAATAGGTCAGTCACACATGTTCATATTTGTGAAAATGTATTTACTGCATTTCTAAACCCAGGCTGCACAAAAAACAGCAAAATCTGAAATGATGGGTGATGGGTTCCAGGTTTCGTTGGAGGGCCACCTTAAAAGTCGTTCAAACGTCAGACGTTGGCAAAAGGCGGGATTGATTGAAACGGTAACATTTCCCTAAAAAAATTCATCTTTATTATTGACAGATTAAAGGGGTTCTAGATGTTCGGTCAAATAACCAATGGAAGGAAAACGCCTTTGTCTTTTATTATAAATCGAATGCATGCCAGAAAGTAAAAGAAAACATACCTGGCTTTTACAACCTTTTTTTCAAGAAGAGTGAAATTAAAGGCACTTGTGCCTTAAAACCCGTAAGTACTTACACTGCAAATATGCTCACGGTATAGTGTTCGGGTTTACATTATTCTTAGAAACACGGTTGTTAAATAATGAAGACTGTTGTGTCTTCAAACGCAAAAGGATTATAAATGTAAAACCTGTTATCACTTCTGTTTACAGGGAGTGTATGAGGTCAATAACGCCCCAGCTGAATGGTCTTTTCCAAATGTTCCAACCATGCCCTATGGACAATATAGGTTCAGAGTCTTGGCGAACAAATTTGATCGCCTCATCTCAAACCTTGTGGTAGACTGTAGAGTTGTTCCTAAACATTAGTAACCATGTCTAAAGTACTGCAAGTACACCAACTGTAGAGTAGGTATACAAAGGAACACGATTGTCGTTCTTATTGTACACTGTGAAAAATGTCGTAAGTATACGATATATTTTGCAATTAATATTTACAAAACTTCTTGTAAATTTATGACAACTCAAACCAGCTTGTCGATGAATTCCAAGACGATACATAGTGACTGCAATGTATTGTAAATTGACAGCACGCTTCTAAGAAAATTTTCCCGTAAAACCTCTACAACTATTATTTTTCACAGTGTACTGCCCGTAGGATTTCACGTTAAATAAGCGTGTCCCTCAAAAATGTGTACCTTACCCAGTGCCGGTTTGATAGGCAGTACTCTAGCTTAAATTGATTTTCCGGTTTTTAGCTGCGTGCAGAATTCAAATCTTCGCTCGGACATTGAACCAAAAGGAAACATTCACCAAATGACCGCAAGAAAAACTTTCTTCCCAACTGGATGAAGGGCACGGGCGACTGGAGCTTCTTTGAAGGGGGGGGGGGGGCAGGGGGTAGAAAGAGGTACTACTCCCACCACTCCCGACAGCTGCAGAGCGACCACGACCCTGAACCCGCAGTAGTGGCTGCGGGCTGCCTAGCTCAGACGGGACCGGAGGGGGGAGAGAGGGGGGGGGGTGAGTAGGGGGGTGAGTAGGAAGGGTGGCGAGAACGAAACCACTCACAGATAATTGCGGTCACCAAGCAAACGTGTACCTTGTCCTACAGGGTAAAACAGGCCACTGTAAAACGGGAAAGCTATCATGTAATACGTAAAAATAAAGAAACTTTTAAAATAAACTGTTTAAAAAATATCATTTTTTTTCTGAAAATGAGAAGCAAGTGGTTTATGCGTTTAAGGAAATCCTTTCCGAGCGCCGCCACAACTCGGTGCCGCCGCCTCCCCGTCGTCGTGCTCGAGAGGTTCGCGATGTCGGGTGTGCCGGTTGGACCGCGGCCAGAGGGCGGTATGCAGATGGAGAGCACCGCGCGACACGGGAACGTTTCACGGTCAGAAATATAACGGGAAAAACGCGCGCGCGCCGGCCCGCGCGTCACATATCTCTGCCCACGGCGGCGCGGGAAGGTTCAAACACGAGGCGCCAAGCGGGGACTTTGTGGTGTTGTTGTTGTTTTCATCGCAGTTTAGTCCAAGAATATCATCAATCCTCGCCAACAAGGGGGTAGCCCCCCCCCCCCCCCCAAGCAAACCGCACCGCCGGGATGAGGGACGCGAAAACCGCATTACAGTGACCACAACACGCGCGGAGAGCCAGGACGGCTCACACAACTCCTTGAGGCAGCAGCGCACGGGAAGCGGCGGACGCGGCGCAAGGGGGTGCTACAACGGGGCGCTCCAGTGGGGGCCGAGGGGTTGCTCTTGGGGGAGAACGACAGAGGGTAAACACGAGTGAATAGCTCACCGTGCATCATCTGAGGATTATATAACCGGGGATGCATGAACTGAGGGGCGGACGGTGGGGCTACGGGTGGAAAGTACCGGAGGTGGTACCCACTAGGGTGGTACGGGGTGTTTTCGGGGTATGGACCTCCATGCGGTTCTACTCACCCTGGATATCTTGAGCGGCTGTCCCTGATCGGCGCCGCCGTGCATTCGGAAGCCCCAGGGCGGGCCACCCTCCAGCAGCACCTCCCTGGCCGTCATGGTGACGCCGTCACCCGTCGTCGTCGTCGTTGTCGTGGTCGTGTTCGTCGAGGTCGTCCTCGTGGGCCCGTCGGCGGCTGGTGCGCGACGTCGTGGGCCGCCAGCAGTCGCCGGCCCGCCGAGTGCGGACGGTCTGGGAGCCGGCGGGGGGCTGCTGCCAGGGGGCTGCTGCTGGCTCTAGCAGCGCGCCGCCGCCCCCGGGACCGCAGGAGCCGCCCCCCGGGCTGCCCGCCTGGCGAGCGCGCCGGCCCGGGCTTCGCTGCGGCGGCATTGGCACGGCGCGCGCCTGCGGACAGAGCAATGGCAAGAGCATGAGGAGCCGCCGTCGTCATGGTGATCCGGGAAGTGATAAGCTGACCCGAAAAGTAGTCCGGAAGGTACTCCGGAAGGTGATACGAAAGAAAATCCGGAGGGTACTCCGGGTTGTATTCGAAAAGTGTGCATCGGAAAGTGTGAGATGCCTTACTCTGCGGCTGCCACCTCCAGGGTCACTACCCCCACCCCACTACTCGGGTTGGGAGCCCTGGAAATTTTCCGGAAAATTTCCGGAAAATTTAATTTTTATCTCCGGGAAAAATGGAAAATTTAATTTTAATCT